CTAGCAGTTTCAGAGTTTCAGGTTTTATATTGAGGACTTTGATTCATTTGGAGTTGACTTTTGTGCAGAGTGAAAGATAAGGGTCCAATTTCATTTTTCTACAGGTGGAGATCCAGTTTTGCCAATACCATTTGCTGAAGATACTGTCTTTCTTCCATTGTGTGTTCTTGGTACCTTTGTCAAATATCAGGTAGATGAAATTGCATGTATGCATATCTGGGTCTTCTATTGTGTTCCATCAATGATCTAAGTGTCAATTTTTGTGCCGATACCGTGTGGTTTTTATGACATAGCTCTGTATTATAATCTAAGATCTGGTATGGTGATCCCCCCAGTGTTGTTCTTTTTGCCCAAGATTGCTTTGGCTATCTGGGGTCTTTTGTGATTCCATATGAATTTTAGGATGATTTTTTTTCTAGCTCTGTGAAGAATGTTGTGAGTAGTTTGATTGGCATTGCATTGAATCTATAAATTGCTTTTGGTTAGAAGGCCATTTTCACAATATTGATTCTGCCAGTCCATGAGCACGATAGGTCTTTCCATGTCCTAGTGTCTTCATCTGTCTCTTTCTTTAGAGGTTTGAATTTTTCATTGTAGAGATCTTTAATGTCTTTAGCTAGGTTTATTTCTAAATAACTTTTTTGAAGCTATTATGAATGGAAGGTTTGCCTTGAATGCTTTTTTCTGATTGTTTGTAAGGTTACTGATTTTTGTAAGTTGATTTTGAAACCTGCTACTTTACTGAAAGTAGTTATCATTTCTAACAGTTTTCTAGTGGAATTTTTAGGATCTCTTATGTATAGTATCATGTCATCTGCAAATAGGGATAATTTGACCTCTTCTTTTCCAGTTAGTACTCCTTTAATTTCCTTCTCTTGTCTTATTGTTCTTGTAAGAGTTTCAAGCACTGTATTGAAAAGGTGTGGAGATAGTGGACAGCCTTGTCTGATTCCTGATTTTAATAGAAATGCTTCCAGTTTTTCTCCATTTGCGATAATGTTGGCTGTGGTTTTGTGGTATATAGCTTTAATTATGTTGAGTTATGTTCCCTCCAGAAAATTCCTTCTAGAACTTTTAACATGAATGCATGTTGGATTTTGTCAAAGGCCTTTTCTGCATCTATCGAGATGACCTTGTGGTTTTTGTCTTTAAGTCCATTTATGTGTTTTATTACGTTTATTGACTTACTTATATTGAACCATCCTTGCATCTCTGGAATAAAGCTGACTTGATCATGGTGACCTTTTTGATGTGTGTTTTTCTGCAGTTTGTGAGTATGTTGTTGAGTATCTATGCATCTATGTTTATTAAAGATACCGGTCTATAGTATAGTTCTCTCTCTCTCTCTCTCTCTCTCTCTCTCTCTCTCTCTCTCTCTTTTTTTGGTTGTGTCTTTCCCTGGTTTTGGTATTAGAGTGATACTGGCTTTGTAGAAGGCTTTTGGGAGTTCTTCCTCTGTTTCTATCATTTTTGACTAATTTAAGTGGCATTGGTTATAGATCTTCTTTGAAGATCTGGTATAATTCTGCTGTGAATCCATCTGGGCCTGATTTTTTTTAGTCGGGTGGTTTTATATTACTGTTTCAATTTCCTTATTTGTTATGGGGCTGTTTAAATTGTTGATTTCTTCTTGGTTTAACTTTGGTAGTGTCCATGATTTTAGAAATTCATCCATTTCTTTTAGATTTTCAAATTTAATAGAGTATACATTTTTAAAACATTTCCTTACAATGTTCTGGATTTTTTTTTTTTTTTGGTTGTCTATTGTGATGTTTCCCCTTTCATCTCTGATTTTGTTTATTTGGATTTGCTCTTTATTTATATTGGTTAACTGGGCTAAGGGTTTGTCTATCTTTTTTAACCTTTCAAAGAACCAACTCTTAGATTCATTAACTTTTTTGTATTGTTTTCTTTGTTTCTATTTCATTAATTTCTGCTCTGATTTTTGTTATTTCTTCTCATCTACTAGATTTGGGGTTGGTTTGTTCTTGCCTTCTCAGAGTCTTGAGTTTTACTGTTAAATCATTTATATGTGCTCTTTCTGTTTTTTAATGTAGGCACTAAGGGCTATAAACTTCCCTCTTAGGGCTGCTTTTTAGGGTGATCCAGAGGTTTTGTTGCATTGTATTCTCATTGTCATTCAGTTCCAGAAATACTTTCACTTCTTTCTTAATTGCTTCTTTGACTCATTCATCATTCAGGAGTGTGTTGTTTAATCTCCATGAGTTTGTATAGTTACTACAGTTTCTTTTGCTGTTGATTATAAGCTTTATTATATTTGTTGAGATTTGTTTTGTGTCCCAGAATGTGGTCAATTTTAGAAAAATTTGCATAGGGTGCTGAGTAGAAAGTGTATTCTTTGAGCCAGGCATGGTGACACACACCTTTACAGCACTTGGGAGGCAGAGGCAGGCAGATGTCTGTGAGTTCAAGGCCAGCCTGGTCTACATAGTGAGTTCAGATCAGCTGGGACTACAGGGAGACCCTGCCTCAATGAAAAAAAAAAAGTGTATTCTTTGGTGCTTAGGTGGAATATTCTGCAGATGTCTATAAGATCTCATTTAATTCAGATGTCTCTCTGCTTATTCTTTGTCCAATTGATCTATTGAAGATAGTGGGGTATTAAAGTCACCTACTATTACTGAGTTGTGGTTAATCTGTTTTATAGTCCTAGAGTACTGTTTTTATGAAATTGGGTACTCCACAGTTTGGTGCATATATATTCACGATTGTAATAGTTTCTTGTTCAATTGTTCCTTTGATTAGAATGAAGTAACCCTCTTTATCTCTTCTGATTAGTTTTAATTTGATTTTGTCAGATAATTAGAATTGCAACACCTGCTTGCTTCTTAGAGCCATTTTCTTGGAATATTTTTTCCATCCTTTCACTCTTAGGTAGTGTCTATCTTTAAAGGTGAGATGAGTTTCTTGAGGACAACAAAAAGATGGGTTTTCTTTCTTGATCCATTCCACTAGCCTATGTCTTTTGATAGGGGAGTTGAGGCCATTGATATTTAGTGTTGTTATTGAAAGATGTGTATTGAATATTGTCATTTTAATTTCTTTGTTGTTGTGACCCTATTTTGTGTTTCTGTTATTATACCTTGCTTTGTTTTCTTTCTGTAGCTTCTTGGGCATTTGTTCCTTTCTTCAGTCCTTTGTATTGCTTCAAGCATTCTCTGTAGGGTTGGTCTGGTGCACATGAATTATTTCAGCATATTCATGTCATGATAAATTTTCTGTTTCCCTTCAACCGTGATATATAGTTTTGCTAGATAAAGTATTTTGGGTTGCCATCTATAGTCATTTAGAACTGGGAATACTTTGGTCCAGGCTCTTCTAGCTTTCAGAATTTTCATTGAAAAGTCAGCTATAATTCTGAAGCGTTCCTTTATATGTAAGTTGTTTTTCTCTAGCAGCTTTCACTACCCTCTCTTTGTTCTGTACATTTAATGTCTTTACTGCCATATGCTATGGGAGAGTTTCTGTTCTGGTCATGTGTAATTGGTGTTCTATGTGATTCTTCAATTGCTATAGGTAAGTTTTTCCTTAATTTAGGGAAGTTTTCTTCCACAATCCTGTTGAAGATCTGTTCAATGCCATTGGCCCAAGATTCTTCTCCTTCCTGTATACCTATAATTCATAGATTTGGTCTTTTCATGTTGTCCCACATTTCCTGAGTATTCCATTCTTGTGGTGTTTTGAATTTTATATAGTTTTTGCTTAAGAAGCCCAGTTCTTCAACTTTATCATCCAGTCTTGATATTCTGGTTTCCATTTCATTCATTGTGCTTGTGACATTTTCTCCTATTGTTTCTAATTTGTTTATTGAGTTTTTCAATTCCATGTTCATTTCCTTTGGATTTACTTCACTATTTCTATCTCTTTTGTGAATTCACTTTTCAAGATATGAATTGTTTTTGATATTTCATTAAGCCACATATTTGTGTATTCTTGGGCTTCCATACAAGTTCATGCCTTTTGTCTTTGAGTTCTTTTAGTTGTTTGTGTTTTCTTTAAGTTCTTTCTTCATGTTTATGATTGTTCTTTTAAATTCTACATCCTGGGGTTCCTCAGGGTGGTTCTCACTGTAGTTCACTTCTATAGTGGGTTTTGTTGGAGACATATTCTTTTGGTTTTTCATATTATTTGTATTTTTGCATTGCTGTTTGGGCTTATGGATGTTCTTTGTTGGTTATGTGTTCAGTAGGAACTTCTCCTCTGCTTTTGTTTAATTTTGGTTCTGTTTATATTGTTTATGTAGCTTGGTTACTTTTTGTTTAGGTATGGAAAATAAATTGATACATGTTTCAGGTGCTTAGAGGGTAGTAGACTGAACTGGGTGGATGGTGGGACAGGGAAGTAAGTAAGCTGGTCAGGTTACTAAGAGGGTTGGTCTGTGTCAGACAGATAAGGAGCCAGTGGAGTTGATGCTAAGGAGTTTAGCTAGTCTGGGTTAGGAACCTAGACCAGAGATCTGAGGTGGAGGAATTGGAGCCTGCCTGGGTCCAAGACTGGCCACGGACAGGGTGAGGGTGGACAAGAGGAATCCTGGGGTCATTTTTTAAAGTAACTTTTATAAAGACATTTCAACCTTCTTCATATGTGCACAAATTTTCTTTACCCTATCACCTAAGTGTCACTGAAATGTTTTTAAATGCCTAAACAACTGTAAAACCCTGTACTAAAATGTTAGGGAAAATGGGCTACCCTAGGGAAGTGACATGTTAAGGTGATAACATGTGCAGCTTATGGCATTTTCATATGCTTTTTATGAAAAAATTTGACAGTTTTTTGACACTGGGGTGGGTGTGGAAGTCAGAGGACAACTTCTGGCTTGTTCTCTCTTTCCACCATGTGAGTTCCAGCAATTGAAATCAGGTCGTCAGGCCTGGCAACAAGTGCTCTTAACTACTGAGCTATCTCGATGACACCAACAACTCACTGTGTTATCCAGAAAACAATTCGTGTGTAATGTCTGATGTCAATTTTCTTTTCAGGTGACCTTCCAGGTTGCTCCTCCATGTACCAGGGAGAGCCATTATGAGCACCTTGGGCGGTGTTGCCGCAGGTGTGAACCAGGTATTTCCGTCCCTCAGTAGCTTTCAGTGTCTACTTCCATTACCTTTTCTTTTCTTGTGCTAACAGATGAAGAAAGCAGTTCAAAGACCTTTCATGGTAGTGACAGGTAATAATGTTTGTCACTCAGAAGATAGAAATCTTTCCTTCAATAAATAATATCACCTAAAAATCAGAAGCAATTTTAGAAACTGGTGTTCAATTTGTACAATTTCCCCTAAACACTATTTCTTGAGAAGGCAAGGTTTTTCTAAAACCACATTTTAATACTTTATGATTCAAACTCTCAAAATATGAAATACAGCTTTTATTTGAAATTGTTTGCACAGAAATTTTATTTGGGAATAACCATACTGGAATTGTCACAATTAAATTGCCTAAACCTTGTTAGACCTTCTCCCATATACAGCCAAAATATAAAAGGGAGGATAGCTGTCAGCTTCCCCCATGTGTGGCCAAATGCTCCTATGTCTCTGTGAAGGGTCAGCCTGCTGGGTCCTCACTCTCTCATCATTCGAAGGTGGGTTACCTTTCAACTAAGATCCTTTGGATGTTTCAGTTACAAATAGCTCTTCAACATACAGGGACCAAGATGCAGCAATTTTTTTCTTTCAAGTACATGTGCGTGCATGTATGCACACACATGTCAGTGTGACTCTTGGTTCAAGTAAATTAGCCATGAACTCATAGTGCATATGGACCAGAGAAGGCTAACTATCCTTGATGAAGGCAGAGAGTTTGAAGATGGGAATGAGGGAGGGAAGAAGGGAGGGAGGGGGAAAGGTCCTCTTGCCTAGCCCCCTTCTTCCCTCTGTCCATTCCAGGGAACCCCTCAAGTTTTCCAGGGCACAGTTTAAATCCAGAGTTCTGCTTCTTGGTCAGCAGAACTTTGGAGGTGTAAACAAACTAAGAGACCACTGCTGACACAGCAAACCCAAGAGAGGACCACAGCAGTTACAGCAAACCCTGATAGGAAATTTCAGCCAGCAGGGAGGCCTGAGAATCCACCAGTAGTACCCTTACTGCCTGGAGGGGCCTGGTCTCATGCATTATGTTGTCTTAGAAGGCTTCTCGGAACAGGGCACATAAAGGACCAGCACATTCAAGATTACTTAATTGGAACTGGAGATCCAACCCAGGGCCTCACACATGGCCAGCATCTGCTCTTCCCAGATGTATACCCGAATCAGCATATTTTAATTTTTTAGTTCTTTTGGATTGATTGGCCCTTCTTTTTCCTGTTGTGTAGTTTTTGGTTTTGATTGGCACATTGTTCTCTCAATTTAAGGAAAATACATGTCTTCTAAATGCACTACTACCTCTGACAGTGTGTGTCTGCCCTGTGGCCCAGATGAGTACTTGGATACCTGGAACGAAGAAGATAAATGCTTGCTGCATAAAGTTTGCGATGCAGGTGGGTCCTTCACGCTGATATGAGTTGTTGGGAAGTGTAGCAATGCCATGTCCATTTTTTGTCTCTCACATCTGTTCTATAGAAGCATGTTTAGATGTGCCCAGTGCTTTTCCTTTGAAGAGTATAGGAAGAAGTTCTGCCCATGGTTTTCATCTAAACATTTTGTTCTAGAATATGTGTGTGCTGTGTTTTAATAGTGAATATATCCTACCACTGACAAAATGTTCCCACAGTGTTCCCATGTGTTTGTGCCATTTAATTCTCCATGAGTTCTGTATTTATCCCATTTTACAGATAGAGAAACTGAGACTTGGGGATTGAATGACTTCTTCAAGATTAATAGATGAGAAGCAGGATTCAGACTGATCTTCTGACTCATAATAAGCTTTATCCCTAAGCATAATGTTTGCTCAGCCCTACAGTTTATGACCTCACCAGGCTGCCATAATTTGAAGGGAGAAGAGTTGGGGGCTGCATAAAAAAATTGGGGCAGAGGGCGGACAAAGTTTCACTCTGTAGTCCAGGTTAGTCTGGAACTCACTAGGTAGTCCAGGCTCTTCTCAATTCACAACAGTGTTCCTCAGCCTGACCTGTGTTAGAATTACAGGCATGCACTAACCTGTCTGGCTCCCCCTTTTTTTTTCTCAAATTATAGCTTAATTTTAGGGATCAGGATCAAACAACATCTTATGAGCTCCTAACCTAGAGATTCTTTTCTCTTTTCTCTTTTTCTATTCTGAATATTACAGAATCTTCATGTTCATCCTGTGAGCTTCTGGTTTGGATTTTAATGGCTCTGATTTAACATATTCTTTCTCTGGTATTTCCTGTATCTCCCATGTTAGATCTAGAAGGCTGATTGGGTTCTGATTTGTTTTGACTTGAGTTTGGCAAAACACTCACTATCCACAGTATAGTTCATGTGTATGCCATTGGAACCATAGAGAGGCAGCTTATTTTTGTGTTTTTGTATGTGATATTAACAGCTACTGGTGAGCATGGCCTGAACCTTTTTTATTTCCAGTGCTGGAGATGAACCTCAAAGCCCTGCACATGCCAGGCAAATGCTCTATTACTGAGTACCAACTCAGTTTTATTAAATAGGGACATCCTATATAGCCCTGGCCTCGATCCTCTTGCCTCTGCCTCTTAAGTGCTAGGACTACAGGGGTGTGCCATCCAGCCTTGTCAGATGTGCCCTCATTAGGGGATGTAGAAAATGTCTTCTGATTCTGTCTTCCTTCTTCATTATTAGCTGGAATGCCTCATAGAAACTTCCTTCATCAATTCTTTGTCTCCCTGAAGTGCAGCAGGCACAATAAATGCTTATAACATCACTTATCACTTTCAAAACCATGACTGGATCATCCAAGCTTCCTTCCAAGGGTGTGGATTAATATGATGAACTCATGGATTTTGATGTGTCTGAGGTGCTTCAGTCTGTTGCAGTCGTTACTAGTTTTACTGGTGGTCAGATAATCCCACCTCTCTCAGGTGGCCCCAGGTCTTCTGACACACCCTATGTATCCTTACACCATCTCTTACCTCCATGCTTTTCCCACCAGCTCTTTCTCCAAGAAGCCCTGATTACTTTTAGTGGGATTTGTTTTTAAAGATTTGTTTTTATTTACGTGTGTGTGTGTGTGTGTGTGTGTGTGTGTGTGAGCATGCCTGTATTGGTGCCTGAGGAGGCCAGAAGAGGGTGTTAGATTTCCTGGAGTTGGAGTGACAGGCAGTTATGAGCCACCCAGCGTGGATGCTGGGAACTGAACTCTGCTACTCTGTAAGAGCAGCAAGTGCTCTTAACCACTGAGCCATGTTTCCAACCCCTAGTGGGATATTTTTATTTAGCCACCTCAGTCACTTTGCTAGTGCTACGGAGACTCACGACTGCTAACTTTATCTTTGTAGAATATGCCCCTATTGGATACAACTAAGAACTATTTAACACCATCATTCTTCTAATGTGTTAGAGACAGCTGGTAGATCTTAGGCTGGAGAAAGTAACGTGGAAACTCCACTGAACTGAGCATCTGATCAAGTCTTTTCTGTTTCCCATTACTTAGTAATGGCCTTGACTCATCTCTGTCTGTTGGAAATAAGAATTCATTCTGTCTGCGGCCAAAGTTAAAGGCTAATACTGAATGCATTAAGTTATTTTTAAAATGTCATCTTCCCATTCACCTACATTTTCTCAGGATACTGGTAGTATTTTGCAGAGAAGTGACATGTGTCCACGTACTACATGTTTCTACATGTTGGCTTTGGTGCTGCAAGGGCTTGGGCAGTGGGCACAGGGGTGAGTGGGGACTTCTCCAGGATCATGCTTGGGTCTGAAAAACATGAAAATAGGACATGTCTCTTTTCAGCAGGCTGTAACTTGAGACAGTAGAAGAAACAGGTTTTGATTTGCTTGTGTCTTTTCCCCTTAGAAGATAAAGTATAAAGGCCTCATAGAAAATTCAGATGAGATGGAGCCCTTCTTGGGTTCTAGGGTGATTTCAAATAATGGTATGGCTTTGTGTTATATGTGCATGTACACCTGTATAGTTGAGTCTCCTTATTCACAGTAGCTGTATTCTATAAAGTCACTGCAAACACTGAATGAGTGTGTTTTAAACCACTGCTCCTAGGAGAAATGAGGGCCTAGATTATTACAAGGTTCTGGCCCTGTTGCTTTCAGCCCATCCACACATTCTCTTATTTACATATGTTACTTGATAGATGTTGGCTCAGCATTGCACTCACAGTCCGTAGAGCCACAGCTCACACTTACACAAACTGTCTCACACATTTTCTGCGGAAGGCACATCACGGCCTTCTTGCATGTAGGAACTCCAGACAGCATTACACACAGGGCTGTTTTAAATCGGAATGTCACCAAATAAAAGCACCAAAATGAGGAAACATGGCATTGGATAGGCTATACAAAGGACACTCATTTGGACTGGTGTCATAGCTCAGTGGTAGGGTGCTTGACTGATTTATGTAAGGCTGTGGGTTCAAACCACAGGCAGAGAGGGAGGGAGACAGGGAAGAAGGGGAGGAGGGAAGGAGGGACGGAGGGAGCGGGGGAGGGAGGGAGGGGAAAGGAGAAAATCATTCTCTTCATGAGAGCAGAAACAAGGTGCAGAGCAACTTTAGCTTGCCAATGTCCAGGAATGACTGACTCCAAACATACTGCAAGTGTTGACAGAAAATGTACTGAATGGGGAATTAACAAATATAGATCTGAACAGTGATAGTGATTCTTATGTGTTGGGCACACAGTTCACAATAAATTCCCATGTGTCATATCCAGAAAAACTGGAAGACGCCAGGAGATTGAAGTACAAAAACAAGTACTTTTCTACCTGTTGGGAAAGAGTAAAGTGCACGTGATCTGGGCTGGTGGGACAGACTGATGCGCAAGTGTGGATACTACCGGCCTCTGTCCTTTCCCAACATGACTGAGCAACCCAGGATGAACCCAACCCCAGAAACCCTGTTCTCTTGGGTCCAACCTAGCCTTGGCGGTAATAATATTTATAGCATTTGAATTGACATACAACTATGCACTCTGGTGCATCTGCCCAAGTATACGTGCCTTAGTCCTTAACAATACTACTATGAAAACCGACTTTTCAGAAAGCCCACAAAATTGTTAATTATTATGAAGAAAAACCCTGTTGAATGGTTTCCTGCCAACAGGGAAGTGCAAGGAGGAACTTAGGAGTTCCTCAAACCCCGTGCCTGCAGTTGTATGAGTCACTGTGTTAGGCGGCCAGGTGGGCTGTCTGAGGCTGGGTGTGAGACAGTGCACGATGTGGACCACGCTTCTGTGCCTCCTGCCCCTCGCTGGCCACTGATCAGTCTCTTGTCTCCCGCAGGCAAGGCCTTGGTGGCTGTGGACCCTGGCAACCGCACGGCCCCGCGCCGCTGCGCCTGCACCTCTGGCTACCACTGGAACCAGGACTGTGAATGTTGCCGACGCAACACCGAGTGCGCACCGGGCTTCGGCTCCCAGCATCCCTGTAAGGTGGCACGGTTGCATGTGTGTGCGTGGATCTGACCCCACAGAGCCCTGCGGTTAACTCCAGCCCAGAGGCCTTCCAGGATTTGTCATAACTGTCATAGATACTCCAGAGAGCCAGGTGGCACCGACGAACTTCAGAGGGGGCTAACCGCCAACCTAGCCCGGTTTCTAAAGACCTTACGCAGTCAGGCCAAGTGCCCTTGTCACTGATGGAATTATAACTGCAATAACACATTTAAAAATAGTCAATGGAAGGCTGAGGAGAGGGCTCTGTCAGTACTGTGCTTGCCTCACAAGCACAAGGACCTACGTGGGATCCCAAGAACCCACATAAAAAGCTGACAGCATGTTGTGTCTCAGTAATCCCAGGTAAATGGGGAGAGCCAAGACCTTGGGATCCCCAGAGAGGCTGCCCAGCTAGCCAGCCTACTCCGTGAACTTCCAGGCCAATGAGAGACAAAAGGCTCTTTAAGAAAGACACCCCAGGCTGTACACACACACACACACACACACACACACACACACACACAGATACACACACACACACACACACACACACACACACACACACACACATACACACACACAGAGAGAGAGAGAGAGAGAGAGAGAGAGAGAGAGAGAAAGAGAGAGAGAGAGAAACACCCAGTGCACTCTTAAAAACCACCCGTTCAATCATGCACTGTTGGAAACTTTTATAGTCCTTTTCTCTCCCCTGATTTGCACCCATCCATCTTTCCCAGAGAATTTCAACCTTCTAGGGTTTTGGGGTTTTGCTTAGAAGGCTCTTCCCAATTCCCTTTTCATATTTCTTCACATAAAAAGTAGGCACTGATTTGGAATTTCACTTTTGAAAGTTTACCTTGACTAATGTTCTCAAGGTTAAAACCAGTTTTTTTCTGGATTGAGTTGTCACCATACTTGTTACTACATAATTGGTCACAAATGCATATAGTTTTTCTATATTATAGTCATAAAAGTTAAAAGCTTTTGAACTTTGTCATGAATAGGATTGACCCCAATATTCATAGAGTTATCACTGTTGCTAAAACAAAATATTTGCAACGTGGATCTGTTTCCATGTTCTGTGGTTGTTTATGTGAGTGCTGAGGACCCCTCCATTCTTCCGGCACCTCCTGAGTTATATATCCTCCATCACACGGTGATGTTACACTAGAATTTTTTTAATGCTCTGTCATCTGAGAACCCCATTGTGTCCTTCAGCTTTGTTGAAAGCAAAGAAAAAGAAATCCTTTCAAGTTACGAAAGTACTTCTTTGAGTCATTTTGTTTTCCTGACTTCTAGGAAGTATTACAAAGCAGTTTTTTCAAGATGCAACAAGTGATTATTTATGGTTGCCCATCTTTCACTTAGAGACACTCTTTAAAGCCAGAATACTTAGACTGGGGAAATTCAAATATTATTCATTTGAATTCACATAGAAGAAAAGTATCTAGCCTGGGTCTAGCTAGCATGTTGGGCCTCATATCACAGCACTGACTCGCCCACACATGCATTCTCTTAGAAACAGTCGACTTGGGCTTTTAGTCATTAAAAATGAGCCTCCCTATCAAAGACACTCCCTCAGAATTCTGATTGTAGGCCTGGGGTCCTTCCACAGGTTCACCACCTTTGTGAAGGGAAAGCCGTTGCCTTTTACCGCTTCTGAAAGGTGTTCTCTCTGCCTTCAACCCTGGGGAATGATGCATTTTGACAATAGATGGAGGTCAGGGCATGAGGAAGATGAATAAAAATTCACTCCTTGGGTGGGGCTGTAGCTTAGAGTGCTTACCTAGCACACACAAAGCCCAGAATTTGATCCTCGGTACCACATAAAATCAGGTGCGGTACTGCACACCTATAATCCCAGCAGAGGTAAAGGCAGATCAGAAGCCCAATGTCATCCTCAGCTACACAGTGAGTTTGAGAACAGCTTGAGCTGTGTGAAACACTGCCTCAAAAAAAAAAAATCACTCCTGTCCCAACTTGCAGTATATTTGAGTTCAAAAAAGGTCCCAAATACTGTTTCAACGACCACATTTTCTCAGCTGATAGGGAAAGAGAAGCAGGCCCTAGGTTCACCCACATGGTGGCTAACAACTGTTCATAACTACAGTTCCAGGGGATCTGACATCCTCTTCTGACCTCCGTGGGCATTACATGTCATGGGTGCACTTGCATACATGCAGGCAATATACTCATACACATAAAAAATAAAAATAATAAATAAAATATTTTTAAAAGAAATATAAGTTCTTTTGTAAGTATGAGAAACAGGGTGGTAAAAGGGAGCAGGGAAATGATCCCTGCAGGATGTTTCTAGTGGGTCAGAGTTACCAAAGTATCATGTGGAAGTCAAGTGTATGGAAAGTTAGACCCTGAACCTTTGTAAGTCTGGCACGCCCTTGGGAAGCTTATTTTGGAGGTCTCAGAATCTTCTAGATTGAATTCATCTTTTGTTTTTAATTTTTTATATTATTTATTACATTATTTAGTGTGTGTGTGTATGTGTGTGTATGTGTGTGTGCATGCATGCATGCGTGTACAAGCACTATAGCACAGGTGTGGAGGTCAGAGAACAACTTGTGGAATTTGGTTCTCTCCCTCCATATGTGGGTCCTAGGGAACAAACTCAGTTTGTTAGGCTTGTTGGCAAGAAACGTTACTCACTGAGCCATCTCACTGGTCCTATTTATTTATTGTCTCTGTATGGATAGGTGTGTGTGAATACAGGTGCCCTCAGAGGCCAGGGGTGTTGGATTTCCATAACTGGAGTTACAGGTGTTTGTTAGCTGCCTGACATGGGTACTGGGAAGTGAACTAGTGTGCTCTATAAAAGCAGTGTGTGTTTTTGACTGCTGAACCATCTCTCCAGCCCCTGTGTTCATCTTTATTTTTACTATTTATGTGATGGGTGTATTGCCTGCATGTAAGTGCACCTGTGTCATACAGTGTCCATGGAGGTCAGAAGAGGGTGTTGGATCCCCTGGAACTGGAGTTACAGATGGTTGTTAACCACCATCACCATGTGGGTGCTGGTATGCAAACCTAGGTTCCTCTGCAAGAGCAACCAGTGCTCTTAACCACTGAGCCATCTCTCCAGCCCCCAAACCTGTGTTCATCTTTTAAAATGATTTTTAAATTGATGTGAGTTAGTAGATGGTCCTGGCATTGTTAATATTATTTTGAAGCAAATCACACTGCCAGATCAATATGGCAATGTACCACATATATTGAGCCAAATTACAGAAATCAAACAGATACTCCCTATCTGGCATAGACCAAGGAATTTAATTCCTTATTTTAGGGCTATATTTATGAAAATAAATGACAGAAGTGCTACTAATTTCAAGAGTGATTTGTGGTTTGGGCACCAACCAATAACCTGATTTGGGTTTCATGTAGTAGACAGTATTCCTCATTGGGTCAACCAAAGGGCCGTGAGCCAAGTGGAGTAAAGATAATAGAGGAAAACATAGGAAACATCTCTTATGCTGATAATTTAGATTAGGGGGGATATGAGAGAAAAATTGTATTTACCAAGCAGGATCAGCTCTTGCTTTGAGCACTGTGGATGAAAGAAAGATCCAAAACCTATCTCATTGCTTTCATTTGTAGTTTGCTTAGAATACAGCCCCATCCATTTGCCCTCCACACTGCCTCTGTGCTATGAACAGTAGCTGCAGAGACCAAAGACCTGCAAGGCATATGATAGTTACTGTCCATTCCTTTATACAAAAACTTGACACCAGCTCTTGGTATAGAAGAAGGAGATCACAGGGTTCCTTTATGCAAACTTGGTTGCCACTCCACCACATTGCATGGTGAAATTAAGCTGGTCATTTCATGGTGGAAATGCCATCACTTATTTATTGTTCCCTATTGGCAGTGTTTCAGTGAATTGTGTTGTGTATAGGTTGAGTGTCCCTTATCCAAAATACCTGGGATCAGAAATGTTTCAGATATCAATTTTCCAGATTTTAGAATATTTCAGTTGCATAATGAGATATCTTGGGGTCAGGACAATATATTTCCCTTTAAAAAAAAAAAAAGAATAGCACTGCTGTTCCCTGCAGAGGAAGGCTGATACAGCCATAAAGGCAGAAAGACAAAGGAGAGAAGCCTGTCCGGAAAGAGGTAGACAGCAAAACTCAGCCACACAGATTTCCTGACTACGCAGTAGCATGTTAAAGCCCAAGACAGTGATTCTAACAGTAAAGGACCAGGACCAGAGTCGACTTTGCCTGGGCCTCAGACACTGGCATCAGTAGCCGGACATGAAGCTACTTTCTGAGTGTAATTCTGTAACCACCTCCTCTACCAAAGCCTGGGGGAGCTGAAGAAATGAGATGCGGATAGCCCGGCAGGCATGGGGAAAGAGTGGGAGCAGCGCCTTGGGGACTCCATCCTGGCTGATCTCTAAGTGTCTGCACTTGCTTGTGTCTGCTGGTTTTTTGACAGTGCAGCTCAACACGGACACAGTGTGCGTGCCTTGCCTCATGGGCTACTTTTCCGATGTCTTTTCTTCCACGGAGCAATGCAAACCCTGGACCAAGTAAGTGACAGTGAAGTAGCCCAAGAGGCCTCTTCACTTTTAGAAGAGTCAGCCTGTAGTGTCTCTGGTTGGAAAACAGGCTGAGTGTGTTTGGTTAGCTTCCTCTTGAAAAGAGTTTGTTGAGCAGTCTTCAGGGCTCTGCATTCCTTCCCAGAGTCAGAATCTGACCTTCTGTTGCAGCTTCTTTTTTCTTTTACCTAGCCTTACTTGGTTGAAAATTATTTATAATTTCTTTTTTTTTTTTTCAGAGCTGGGGACAGAACATAGTACCTCCAAATATGCTAGGCACAACCCTCTACAGCTGAGCTACACCTCCAGCTTGATTTAAGCCACCTATTGTCACTTACTACTTCTACTTTTCCCAACTTCCCATCCTTGCTGGTTTATTCAATTGTTTGTGTGTGTGCTTGTGTCTCTGTGTGTCTATACCTGTGTCTCTGTGTGTGAGTCTCTATGTGTTCACATATAGACGTCCCCATCTGTATAAATGTGTGCACACTGTATATACTTTGAGTTTTTCTCACCTAATATTTCTTGAAGCTCTTTACATGTTACATCTATAGGGGGTTATCTATGCCTTTTATTTTACCCTGTTTTTGATCATCTGGATAGTTCTTTTTATCAAAACTTTAATTCCAGATTTTATTTATTTTATTTATTT